ATACGCATCAGCTTGGAATCTATATCTTTCTAAGCCCAGAGTACAACTTCCTTCTTAATCTTGATCCGTGGAATTCAAAGCTTTCGTTTTTTAGTCATTGAAGCAATCCTTGCCTACAGATCTTAAAAAGCATTTATTTCCTTGCTGAATTCAATGCCAAGGTTTGTGTACATATTAATGTCTGAGCTTCAAAGATGAAATCTTTATTGTCAGTATTACTGATAAGTGTTTTTTAATGCTAAGTTAGGATAATACTACTCATAAAGTCATAATGAGACCATATGCAAGACAATATATGCCAATATTTTTTTAAATAACATTTATTATAACATGTCCTAAAAAAGACTGTCACTTGCTACATTTCTTTTCTGACACATAGACTTATAACTTTCCTTCACATGGTGATAAAGCCAGTGTAATGATGTAAAAAAGCTTTTAGGGGCGAGTGGAGAAAGTTGTGCACAGTGCCATAAGGTATTTTCACGAGAAATTGAAGATGGGCCTCAGCCAGTTATACCTCCTGCCTGTTTATCCCTCTTCATTGTTTTAGCTGGCTAGTTATTGGAGGGACTGTCCACTCTTCCACTGAATTATAATGCGGCATTTCATTGAAAAACGGCTGAAGTTGCCCTGTGCCTTGATTAGATCCAGCACAAGAAGTAAGGAAGGAAACGGGTGAAAGTCACCCTGCCGTTAAAAATTACGCATTCAATTGAGAATCACTGCCCTCATGCAGTGGTGCTAGTCACTGGCATGTGTTCTACCCCTGAAGGCGTCAGGGGCAGGAAAATGCTACGAACTCAGAGATTTTACACAACTTTACAGATTCTTGAGGGAAGGATGCTCTCTCTTGGCTGGCAGGAAGCTATTCCCTTGATGACATTTGTGACCTGGAAGAAAGGTGCACCTTCAGGGTAGAGGAACTGCAGTAACAAAGGAATACTAGACTAACCCGCCGGGTGAGACCCTGTATGTGGGGCGGCTCAGATGATATTATATAAAATATCTTAGAAAAAATAAAAAAAAAATTATATGCCTTTAAAAAATTATTATTGTTAGCATGCTCGTTAATCTTTATTTATATAATAAAATCCATTTAGTGCTTAAGTCGCTTAACAGATGTTGTTTTTACAGGTCCAAGATCCAGGCCCATTGTGCTTTGAATCTGTGTTCCTCAGAGGGTTTCTATTCATGAAGTCTCGCAGGAAATGTCACATGAGTGGGGCTCTAGACTTCCTCACGGGTTCAATCAAAACAGCTCTCCTTTTTAAATGTTTTTCATGACTTTGACAAAAGGGTTTATGTCGCCTAAACATGAACGTTCGTAAAACCACTGATCTGGCCATTACTTTATTTTTACTACAAGAAAATTTGAGGTTTTGGAAGGCATAGTAAGTTGCCTACAAGTGATGATAATTACCATTTATTTAAATAACAGTGTTAGCATATACTGTGATCTAGGCATTTTCATTTATTAATCCTCTGCTATGGACTGGATTGTTATTTTTCCTATTTTATAGATGAAGAAATTCTAGATTCAGGGAGATGAAGTCCATTTTTCCAGTATCACACAATGAATAAATCGAGTCAGGATTTGAAACCATTGAATCACTTTTAAAACTTGTCTTCTTTTCAACTATACCATATTTTCCTTCACAAGCTAGCGCACTTCTCTTTAGATCTTAAGTGTTCTGTAAAATTATAGTGTATATTATATATTAAATTATATATTAATTACATATGTAATATATACACACAATTAATCATTTTGTGGTAATCACCACATATGGAAACCACAGTTTCCTGTTTTATGATGTTCTGCTTCCTTAGAAACAAAATTAGAACACTTCAAATGTCATTCTAATTAACCATGTTCCTTCTATATTTAGATGGGAAATGTTTTAAGATACTTTGGGGCAAAACTCCAACCTCTGTGCTCCTCAAAAGCTAAAAAATAATTGCTTTTTCCAACACTTACAGGCCAACTGATGTAAACAGTAGCGTATAGAATGGAGCAATGAAAATGATCAGCTCTCTTGGTATGCTTACAGGTGTGTATCAACTGGCAGATATCATATACGCCAGCTTAAAGCAGTTCGGACTTGCATTTGCAATGGACAGAAGAAGAGCATCGTCAATGAATTTTATGGAGCAGGTAGGTTGAAAGCTGAGATTGGAATTTTTTTAGAGAACCGCATCATCTGAAAGATGCTAGTCTTTGGGATTTGGAGTAGCTTCTCGAGTGTTTGTAAGTCTTTTGCTTTGACCAAAAATGTTTAGAAGTTGTTGAATTTGCTTGGTCTTAGTTTTCTCCAGCTCTTGTTTTGCTCTTGCTGCTAAAACTTAAAACAAAAAATATCTTATTGCCTATCTGACATGGAGTATGATGTCCCTTAGTCAGAGGTAAGGCTACATCTAGCATTATGATTCCAAGATTGCTTTCAAAACCCTGAGTACCTGCAACCTAGGATCATTTATTTCCAGATGCAAAATGTTTTAGAGTGATTCAGGAGTATCTTAGATGATATTTAAAGAATATCAAACTCCATTTCCAGTCACGCGCAGAAAGACTGCCTTAGAAACATCAACTGGATAAAAGTCCTAGGCAGAGGGTAGAACATTTGAGGGCTAGAAATGGAATAAAGGAGTTATTTAGTGGGGTTTTTTAAAAGATTCAGAGATATGTAAACATGTACTTCTTGTCCAGGTTTTAAAATCTTGCCTTTAAAATAATATGCACCGGAATGCACTTTGTATGCCCAACATGCAGCAAGCCAATCGAGATGTTGAGTGAGCAGCAGGAAAGGGTTGGAGAAGTAGCCACACTAGGAGTTGGAGCCAGGCCTCAAATTTGCCTTCTCCAGAGTGGAGAGTGTGGAATATTTAAAAGGCAAACAGAAAGGATCTTGGGCAAAAAGGGAGCAGAGTTGTATGTTCAAAATCAGATGAAGGAGAGATTAAGTAAGCAGAGAAGGCTGGATGTAGCCCAATTTATAAACCTTTTTCTTGAAGTTTTTTTTTTTTTTAATTTTGAGAGAGGCAAGCAGGGGAAGGTCAAAGAGAGAGAGGGTAGAGAGAGAATCTCCCAAGCAGGCAGCATGGAAGTCCATCGACACAGGGCCAAACTCACCAACTGCAGGATCATGACCGAACAAAATCAGAGCCAGATGCTCAACTGGACTGAACCACCTAGCTGCCCCTATAATGTGATTATTTTAAAGTATACAGAATTCTCATTACAAAGTTAGAATCCATGCTGGGAGAGTTTGAATCCGGGTTTCTTTTTTTTTTAACCAGCAATGTGATCTAGGATAAATTATTAACCTCTCTCTCGTTAAGCTCTCCATTGATAAAATAGGAATATTTGATGGATCACCTCATAAGATTGCTGGGGATTAGATGAATTAATAAAGTTCTTGACGTTCTGACACCCAAATGATCACATAATAACTTTTGTAATTCCAGGTTGTCACATGTAAACTTATTTCAGACAATTTTATTTAATCTAAGTTTCATTATTCGTCTTTAGAACAAAAGATCATCTGACACCCTACCACATGGAGTTATCATGAAGGTTAAATGTGCTAAGCTATAATGAAAGTCCTAGTCAACCTGCATCAACACTATTAAATTTCTTTCTCAATCTGGTTAGGCTGTTAAACATCTTTTGGGTACAGATGCAAAATTCTAACCTTGACCAACTTTTTATTTTTTTGTTATCTTGTTATCCTGTCTTTATACTCCTATATCCATTTAAGTGCCATGGGCTTAAAAGAACCAAACTCATTTAAAAAAAAAAAAAAGCAAAATTGAGAAATTGTAGAATCCTGTGGGTAAACCTAACTGAAGATTTTTTTTGGCAAACAATGGTTTTCTTTCCTCACGGAGATAAAAATACAAGATTTCTAATCATGGGG